TATGGTACAAGAAATTCCCAGAAATCGTTGTCTGGGTAGCTAACAGGGAAAGCCCAATAATGAATTCATCTGGAGTTTTAACAATCAGCTCTGATGGAGATCTTATTCTCCTGAATGGTACGAGAGGCGTTGTATGGTCATCAAATACTTCGGGAAGAGTTCAGGGGTCAGTTGCACAGCTATTGGAATCTGGGAATATTGTTCTCAGAAGGAAGGATGATAATTCAGAAAGATATTTATGGCAAAGCTTTGATTTTCCATCTGATACGCTTTTACCAGGAATGAAAATGGGATGGAACTTGAGCACAGGAGTAAACAGGTACTTAACATCCTGGAAAGATGACAATGACCCCTCTCCTGGAGACGTCACTTTCAGAACAGACAATATTGGGATGCCTCAGCTAGTTCTTCGCAAAGGATCAGAAAAGATTTACCGAACTGGGGTATGGAATGGAGTTCGATTTAGTGGTACCGGTCCCCTGTCAGTAAACCCGGTTTTCATACCCATTTTTGTTTATGACAATGAAAACTTGTACTATATGTACAAATTTGGCGACCGTTCACTTGTCAACAGGTTTATGATAACTCAATCAGGTTTGGCCGAACGTCTTGTATTGAACGAAGGTGAATCCTCGTGGAACATTTTTTACACGTCACAAGATGATCAATGTGATGAATATGGAGTTTGTGGTGGTAATGGCATTTGCAAACTCGGCAACACACCAATTTGCAAGTGCTTATATGGATATGTTCCTAAATTTCAGAGAGAATGGGATGTGCATAATTGGTCCAATCGATGTGTGAGGAGAATTCCCTTGGATTGTCAGCAGGGAGGATATTTAAAGGTAAGTAATGTGAAATTGCCTGATCTCCTCGAATATTCGCTAAACAAGAGCATGAGTGTCAGCGAATGTGAGTCAGAGTGCTTCAAGAATTGCTATTGCCTAGCCTATGCATATTCAGATATTCGTGGAAATGGTAGTGGTTGTTTCATGTGGTTCGGGAATCTGATTGATGTCCGGGAGATGCCTCAAACGGATAGTCAGCAAGATATCTATATACGGATGCCAGCTTCAGAACTCTGTACGTACCCATGACATTAACGAATTCATCTTTGTTTACAGATTTCATAAAATACTGCAATATTAATTTCACCAGGAACTCAATCAGGTTAATGAGTTAAGTTTATCGTGAGACAGAAAGTTTCAATTTTTTTATTTTATTTTATTTATTTTTATATAATTCACATGATGAAGAAAAATAAATCTCTCTTATCTAGGTATATTCATAAGATAAAGCTCATGATTAATTAACGTTATGACATTCAGACAATAAGAAGAAGACAAGACGTGTGCATATTTCTGTCTTATCATCACTACTTTCTGGAAGTCTCTTGCTTGGCTTCTTGATCTGGTGTTTCGTCCAGAGTAGCAAAAAGAAAAAAGGTGTGCAAACCTGTCCTCTCTTGACGAATTATTTTACTTTGCTGAACATAATCCACACTTGTTCTCCCATCAACTCAAGTTATATAAACCTTCAGCAGCAAATAAATTGATTGGTTTCCCACTGGTCATTATCCTGACTAATTTCTTACAGGATCTGCGACCAATGAGATGGATATAGATCTGCCAATTTTTGATCTAGTTACTATTACTATTGCAACTGAGAACTTCTCTTCAACAAATATGATTGGAGAAGGTGGTTTTGGAATCGTGTACAAGGTAAGGAAGGTTAATTTATAAATTATTCTGCCATAGTGAAAAGTGAAAGTAGCATCTTGATAGAACTTTAAAACAATCTACAGGGCACATTAGCGACGGGACAAGAAGTTGCAGTGAAAAGACTTTCAAAGAACTCTGGGCAAGGTCTTCAAGAGTTTAAGAATGAAGTAATTCTTATTGCCAAACTTCAACATCGAAATCTTGTCAAGCTTTTGGGATGTTGCCTTGAAGGAGATGAAAGGATGCTTATTTATGAGTACATGCCCAACGAAAGCTTGGACTATTTCATTTTTGGTCAATCCCCTTCTGTTTGTTTGCTTTAATGATGCAATACATATTCACAAATCACAGAGTGCACTCTTTTAGTATGAAACTGATTTATTACAAGTCATAGTGCTGTCAACTAAGGTTGATTAATAAATTGCAGATCAACATAGAAAAGCATTACTTACACCGAAAAAGCGATTGGAAATTGTTATGGGCATTTCAAGAGGACTTCTTTACCTTCACCAAGACTCTAGATTGAGAATTATACACAGAGATCTTAAGGCGAGTAACATTTTGCTAGATAGTGACTTGAACGCCAAGATTTCTGATTTTGGCCTTGCAAGGAGTTTTGGTGGAGATCACTCTGAAATCAATACAAAGCGACTAGTTGGAACACAGTAAGTTCCATACCAATCAGACTTTCGAGCAAATGTATGATATCTAGAATCTAATACTATGTTCATGCAGTGGCTATATGTCGCCTGAATATGTTGTTGACGGGATATTCTCGGTGAAATCTGATGTCTTCAGTTTTGGAGTGCTTTTACTAGAGATACTGAGTGGCAAAAAGAATCAAACATTCCATCATCCTGAACATCATCACAATCTTTTAGGTCATGTAAGTCCTACAATGCAAGACCACCATTCTCTCCTTATACAATCTTTCTGTTCAAAAATTAACTTGCATCATTTTTTATTTCAGGCTTGGTTGTTGTGGAGAGAAGGCAGGGCATTGGAACTAATTGATGACATATCGTTCGTCGAATCTCAAGTGCTTAGATGTATTCACGTAGGTCTGCTATGTGTTCAGAAACTATCAGAAGACAGGCCAACAATGCAATCGGTTGTTGTCATGTTGAGCAACGAAGGTGTGAAATTGGCACAACCTAAAGAGCCCGGTTTTTTCATGGAAAGGAGTTGCACTGAAATGGATATCTCAACAAGTGAGGGAAAATTTCAAACACATAATGGGGTGACAATGAGTGAGCTGGAAGCAAGATAAAGAAGGTGCATACATGTTGCCATGTGAATGAGTTGCATACCAAGGAATAGTTACTAGATGAGTTGTTGTATAGGGTGATGAACTATATCTTGAAGCCTGTTTAGAATTGGAGTTCTACATTCACTTACGTTAAATAAGGCGTGCTTGTAAGTAATTTTGTCTTAAATGGTTGAATAAGAATAAAGATCTTTTCCTCCAAAATCTGCTCGAATCTCTACTAATGTTTGTCATGCTAAAAGTGGTAGGAGAGCTGGTTCTTATCAGTTTTGTCCCTCAACCAAGCCGAGCGAGAGAATTTTCTCTTTTATTGTCTTTTTGTTGATCATACTTAAATTTTGCATTGACATTCAAAAATCTTTCAATAGCTCTAGACAAGCTAAAACTAGTGTTGCTTTTTTGTTCCACAATCCGTGTATAACCATAGTAGGTGTCATGTACCTCACCATATTTCTACAATATGGATCACCTACACACTAAACACTTCGTTAAAATACAAAGTGTGTCGATCGAGAAAAAGGTCTCACGATCTTTTACACTCTGACGGTCAAATCAACAGCCCGATGAAAAAAATATGAGTACAAGAGAGGGGATTTTGACTAGTGTTAGAAAACATAGCTTCATTGTGAATGGACTTTCATATATATAGAGAAGTGAAAATTACACAAACTAATAGATTTAGAGATTTCATTTCATAAATCATAAGTTAAGTTTGCTATTTCAAAAATCAGGTATTTTATTAATTAATTAATATATTTTAAATATTAATAATTATATTAGAAAATTAAATATACACATTCCTACCAAACCCTAAATTTATCTTCATTCATCCCTTTCAACTTCTCTCTCTTCCTCTCCCCTCTTCCCTCTTCACTCACGACCTCTGTGCCTTCTCTCTACTGTCGCTGGAAGGCAGCCACTGAAAGATTCCTCCATCTCTGGCAAAATGCAAACGTCGCCATTTAAATCAAATTCGGAACCATTATTTTCTTCACTTATATTGCTCTCTACAGATGATTCTTTGGTTTCTGAACTGAAAAAGTGGTGGCTCCGCCATGGTGATTTGAGATGGCCGCACAGTGGAAATTATTTGCAAAATCCTGAGCAAACGCAATTGGGATTTGGAACCTTTACTGGTTGCACAATACATGGAATTGAAGCTGACCTGATTTGGGTTCTCCAGTGACTTACATGGAGAAGAAGAACCACCCATAGACTTTGATCGAAGCACAATATGACTACTGGGAAAGGGGAAAGAAAGACAAGTAGCACATGTCGTGTTTAATGGCTAAATATTGTATAATGTGTTAACAATTGCACACACATCCAGTGTGAATTTGTGACCAAGAAATTGGTTAATTTGTAACGTGTGACTTAAAAATTGTGACCTTGAGATTAGCCCCTGTTTGGCCCCCATTACCTGAAAATGGTAATGGGGGGAATAGTATTTTTTTAGAAAAATGAGTGGTTGAAAAAGAAAGTAAAGTTTTCGATTTACGTGTAATATTATTTTATAGAAGATTGTATGGTTGAAAATAGGAGAGAGAAAAATGTAATGTAATGTAATGTTAATCAAACAGGGGCAGTTGTGATTAAAAAATTAGTGACATCCAATTAATCTAATAATTTGCAATGAATAAATGAGTTGTGACCAAGAAAATTTTTGATTCTATGACCTATGAAACTTTTGATTTGTGATCGAAAAATAATCCGTGATCTATAAAAAATTTGATTTGTGATCGAAAAATAAGTTGTGACCAATAATATGATAAATTGTGACTAAAATTAATCTACGACTAATTAATTAGATAACTGTGACCAAATTATATAGATTTGTGATCTCAATATATTTAATTAGTAATTTATATGTTTAATAAATTAATTTGTAAATAAGATTTTAAAATATATGATTTTTGAAATTTGAAACTTTGTTTCTTAAATTTGAAATGTGTCATACTTAAGCTCTTATTTATGAATTTTTCCCTATAGAGAAATGATAATGGGTCAAGTGTGCTAGTGGGCTGAGTTCCAAGCCCAAGACAAGATTGCTTAATTTAATAGACCAAATCCAATAAAACAATCAACTTCGAGTTGGTCAATATGGGACCTCCTCCATCATGCGCATGCCACGTAATTTATAGATATTACAATAGTCTCCCGAGTTTGAGTCATACATTTATGTGTTGATCGAGTTTCGAAATATAAGCTGCCAAATAGGTGAAGTCTTACAAATTATCTCAGAAAATATTAGTCGATTCAATACGTGAGGACTTATGAACTGCCTCCAAAATATCTGCACGAGCCTAAATAAGCGAAGACTTATAGATTGTCTCAAAAGATGTTGCATATAATTTGTTAAAATTTCGATAATATCTACTCTATAATAGGGATTAAAACAACCTATAATGCAACATAATATCTCCCCACACATATATAAAATAAATTTGGATCTATTTGCCCCTTAAATTACTAATGACGATAAAGTGAATAATGACTAAGACATAATATGCAGAGAGCCTATCATGTTTCATTGCAAGCCATATGCTTGTACAACTCAATGTAACAATAGTACTATAGTGATACAAGTAACATGCTAACAATAATAAAATGATAATGTGCTACATGTATTATTTGTGGTAAAAATAGTGTATGACATGCTAACAATGATGTGACATGCATACTTGATAGCAATACTATAATATATATGCTAGCAGTAATAATTTAATGATGCAAAGATACTAGTATTATAATAGTCCCCAAGTCTGAGTCGAATATTTATATATAGGTTTGGACTTGAAATATAGACCATTGTGATAAAGCTGATGCAAGGTGAGATTCCGAATATAAGCAGTAGAGGCAATGCTTTAAATGTAACTAGTAGAACGATGCTCTAAATATAAGTAGCAGAGGCAATACTCTGGATGTAAGCAGCTATGATAAGTTGATGTAAAGGCGATGCTCTAAAAGTAAATAGAGGATACGATACTTTGAATATAAGTAGCAAAAGTGATGCTCTAAATGTAAGTAGCAGAGGCAATGCTTTGAGTGTAAACAACTGTAACAAGCTGATGGAGAGACAATGCTCAAATGTATGTAGCAGAGGCAATACTCTGGATGTAAGCAACTATGATAAGCTGATGCAGAGATAATGCTCAAAATGTAAATAGCAGAGGCGATTCTCTAAATATAAGTAATTGTGAGAAGCTGGCATTCTTATATGGGGGTGAAGCATACATGTTAAGGACTTCCTCCATGATGTTTGATCCAGCTATGGAAGAGATTAACCTCTAAGGTAGCAATGTTGCTCCTTGTGTAAGGTATCACACTTGTCCTCATCAAAGCTGTTTTACTTCCTTACGAATGTTGTCTCTTCTATGCAAGGGCTTCCTCTATAGTATTTGATCTAGCCATGGAAGGTTTCATTTTCATAGGTATTAAGGTGGGCCCACATTTCTCCTTACAAAGTGGAAAATAATATAAGCTCTCTGAAGATAAGTAAATATGACATAGCTGAAGCAAAAGCAAAGCTCTGAAAGATAGGCACTTGTAATGTAGAGATATGATAAGCTCTGTGAAAATAGATATGGCTGTGTTATAGCTAATGCAAAGACATAGCTCTAAGTATATAAGCAGCTTGTCATAAGTTGATGCAAGCCCAACAATAGTAAAGGACGAGGGATAATCATCCAACTAGAGGCTTGTCTCGAACTATCGGAGACGTATAAATTGGCCTCAAATGGACGAGGTCTTATAGCTGGGCTCGATGATAGTAAAGGACGAGGAATAATCATCTCGCAAAGCCAAGAAATATGTCTAGCAACGCGGAGAATAAGCATCCTACAAATAGCTCTCGAATTATCGAAGTCTTATAAGTTGGCCTCGGATAGAGGTCTTATAATTATGCTCATCGATAATAAGAGGCGATGAATGAGTACCTCACAAATCCAAGAATAAGTATATGGCAAGGCGAGGAATAAACATCTCATGAATAGCTCTCGAAATGTTGAAATCTTATAAAATGCCTGGGAAAGACGAGGTCTTATAACTAAGCTCGATGATAGTGAGAGACAAGGAATAAGCATCTCGTGAAACCAAAAATAAACATTTGGCAAGATAGGAAATAAACATCCTGCAAATAGCTCTAGAATTATCGGAGTTTTATAAGCTGGCCTCAAATAGACGAGGTCTTATAGCTAGGCTCGAGGATTGTGAGAGGCGAGGAATAAACATCTCGCAAAACTAGATAGGAAATAAAAATCTCACTAATAGTTCTTGAACTATCGAAGTCTTATAAATTGGCCTCAAATAGATGAAGTCTTATAGCTAGGCTTAATGATAGTAAGAAGAGCTCTCGAGCTATCGGAGTCTTATAAGCTAACCTTGAATAGATGAGGTCTTATAGCTAAGTTCGACAATAATAAGTGGTGAGGAATAAACATCTTGTGAAGCTGGAATAAGTATCTGGTGAGACGAGGAATAAACGTCCCGTTAATAGCACTCGAACTATAGAGGTCTTATAAACTGACCTCGAAATGATGAGGTCTTACAGTTAGACTCGATGATAGTAAAAGGTGAAGAATAAACAGCTCACGAAACCAGGAATAAACATCTATTAATAGGGAAATAAACATCCTGCTAATAGCTCTCGAATTATCAAAATCTTATGAGCTAGCCTTGGATACACGAGATCTTATAGCTAAACTCAAGGATAGTGAGAGGCCAAAAATAACCACTAAGTCAGGAATAAGCATCTAGCAATTTGTCTCTTACTTTATTCAAGGAAACATAATTAAAAAGATGTTACATCTGATAATAAAAAAAAACCCACAAGCTAGGGCTTGCCTTCAAAGATGAGAGGTCTTACAAGTTACCACTGCACATGTGAGGTCTTAGAGATTGTATTGAATAATTGAGATGATAATCAAAAGTGCCTAAAGCAAGAGAAATCCTAGCTCGACATTCTGTTGGACACTTTGTGTACATAGTCGTGATTTTGGATTTTTCTATCCAAGTTGTAGTCTGTGGTCTCAAGAAATTAACAAAGAAATGGAAATTCTCCTCAAATTTATTGCGTGGTGTCAACTCTGTACATAGCTTAATCTCCAAGTAGACAAGATAAAAATATACAATTCAATCCAAATGACACCAATTAAACCATGTAAAACACACATATGTGGATTTTTACCAACTAATGATTTAAATGG